AGGTCCCTTCCAACTCTGCTATTGTATTGTATTGTATTATATAAGTCTAAGTGCTATTGCTATTGCAAATTAACACTTTACAATGTTTTTCACTACTATCTATTTCATTTCTAAGTTCCCTTGTTAAGTCCAATTCTTTCTTTGTTTCTCTTTTTCTGTCAAAGGTGTGGCGTGCAAGGAACCCTCACCTGCATTTTAAGTTATATTCTAATCATTCCTTGTTGGCCTATTCCTGAACAGATAATTCAATGTTTTGTGAAGAAAAGAAAAACTTTCATGCACATCCCATGGACCTACGACCATGGGAACTGGAGCTTCTGTAACTAAGCAAGGTGGTTGTTGCATAATCACCATGCTCATTAAGTGAATCCAGCTTTCTGCATTGACTTAACTTGTTGCAAGCCCTCTAGGAAGGGCACAGAGGTGATCATGCGACTTTGGAATGCTGCAACTATCATAAACATGTGTTTGTTGCCGTGCCCAAATTTTGATCATGTGATCACAGGGTCACTGCGGCAGTTGTAAGTGCAAGGATCAGTCAGAAATCACTTTTTTTCAGTGCCATCAGAGTTGGAAGGGACCTTGGAGGTGCTCTAGTTCAACCTTCTGCTCAACTAGCAGACCTGTAAAGGTACTGAGGATTTAATAGCTGCCAGCTGATGAAAGGTTGTAAACTGTAAGCTGATGCAATGTGGCTGATGCAATGTGGCTGATGCAATGAGGCTGATTCATTGCAGCTATGGTATAACCTTTCTAAGACTGTGATGGGATGTCAACACAAGTCTCTCTTTCTATATATATAGGTGGTCATTAGAGGGTGTTTCTCTCTCTCATTGTATATCTCATTTTCTCTGACAAGACCCTATATTATTTCAGACAAATAGCTGTCCACTCTCTTCTTTAAAAACTCCAGTTTTGGAGCACCTACAACTTCTGGAAGCAAACCGTTCCACTGGTCAATTGTTCTAATTTATCTTTTTCGGAATGGGGGGGGGTACTTCTTGCATGGTGTTTACCATCTGCTTGAGAAAAAAAAAACTGCTTAAATTTGGTTCTCCCTGCCTGCAGATCTGTGCTGAACTGGACTGGGAATGGTATTCAAATAGCAGATATTATTGTCTAAATATATAAGAATATCCATGACCGTTATTACTAATGCAGATTTCTCTGTAAAAATGAACTAGTGATGGAGAACGAAGTTTTAAATTCTATTCCTGGAGGATTTATGGTATGACAGCGTGGGGGAGTAGAAGAGTATGACAAGGATGGAATGCTATCTCAGGCCAAAAATAGCAATAGCTTTATTTGGCATAAGCAGTGGAAAATTTCTTACCCAGCGCATTCAAAATCATTGCATTTAAGTGCTTTGCGGCATCTCCAACTGTGTCACAGCTCTCCATTCTCCAAAATGACACATAACACAACCCATTAAAACAAGCCACAGTGTAAACATTTGTGAAAGCCTCATACTTTCACAAATATTGTTCACTTGTTTTAGATCAAATAAGTGAGAAGAGGACCATAAACCCCAAGAACAGAGATAACTATTGCGGTAGAAACCTTTCCAACACTGAAATCCAATTTGTGTGGGTGGTCAGCAGCTCCGTTGGAACAATTAAAGCAGGAATATTGAACTCCTATGTAAAATTTCCTTATAATAAACAAACAAACAAATAGGCATTGTTACCTACTGTATGCTTGGTAAAGAAGTATTATAGCCTAGAGAGAGAGAGAAAGTGATTCAAAGAGCATTGATTTCAAGAGTTTTATTTCCAGAAGTGTACTGTATGCATAGATTACATTGGCTTGTTTAATAAATATTTAAAAAGGAACATTGGGTAGAAAATGGATCACTTACCATCTTTTTAAAAAATCATCTTCTGGCTACCAGAACTGTTAAAATATTCTAAATGGGGGGAAATTTAGTCTGCTCCAACAAACCACTCTTTATGGTTATGTATTAAGAGTACATAGCTGGAATCATTTAGCACAGAATTCTTGCCAGTTAATCATTTAAACAGTATCAACTTTATCCTCTATGAATTTAAAGGATGGAGAGAGAGTGACAGGATAATAAACCATGCAGAAATACCCAGATTCAATGAGTAGGGTTCACATATCACTCTAGGTCATAGTGTGTTGGTTTTGGCTTAGAATATTAGTTGAAGTCATCCCCTATAATTGGCAAGTCATGATTTATGTCTGAGCATAATGTGCGAACCCAACAAATCAAGTCCTAGTGAACATGTAACTATATTAACAATATGGACCTAAAAAATTACAAATCCTAGCTAGACCAAGGAAGATCATTGTTCATACCCGATTCGGGACAACAGTTGGCTAAAAATGCCTTTCATTTGATTCCTGTTCTTTCTGATGAATTCTGTAAATGAAAGAGCAAGGGAGCAAGATATGTTCTTTCAGTCTCAATCCTTACATCTGTTGCAGGGGTGGTTTTTGGCTTCTGTTACTGCCGGTTCGCTCAGGGCACGCTTCACACGTGTGCATGCTATGCGTGCATGCACAGTAGTAAAAAATAGATGGTGATGCCTACGATGTTGC